AATAAAAATTGCCAATTGTGCAGTATCAACGATATCAGTACTCTCGTCGAGAGCTAATGAAAAAGCAATAAAATTGTTTGCTTTTAATACCAATTGTCGCTCGAGATCTTCAGCTAATTTTTCAATGCGACGTACTACAGTTCGAGAAGAGAGACTAATTGATTTAAATTTATTAATATCATTAGGATATATTGTTTCTGCGGCAATTTCTAAACATTGTTTGAGAAATGGACCAATGCTAAATGGATGTGATTCACGTGCAATAAGATGAGCAATTTTGTAACTGGCATACAATGCAGGCTTACTTAATTCCGATTCTTCTTCCTGCATTAGAATAATATCTTTATTAAATGTAATGTACCTGATAAAAAAACTTTTTATGTAAAAACATATATATATTTATATATATTTATATATATTTATACATATTTATATGCATATATGTTCTTATACGAAAAATTTTTTACCGGGTATAATTAAATATAATGAATTAAATTAAAACTGACTATAGTAAAAAACGTATATTTTATATTATAATAATATGTATATTATGAAAATTACTTTATTGTTGGAAACAGCTGATTTTAAATCGTGCAAAAGTTGAATTTGCTTCGGTCCTTCTATCTTGTCATAAGTGGCTCCATGTTTTGTGTTATAATGTCTTCCGACATTATATTTCTTTGAATTCGTAATGGTTCCATAGATCAAACATTGCGTTTGATTATCATGCTTCATTATGAACCACTTCTCTTTCCATGAAGAACTGTCCGAACTTGAACTTAAGGTTTTCCTTTGATTATCCATTACAAACGTTAAATTATAAGATTGCAAATGTGTCTGACTGTTCTAGACAAGAGACAATTTGATTATTTGCTTAGTTATTGTTTTTCTTTTATTTTGAGCGTTTAGCAGATTAATATTAGCAGATGTTTATTTTAAAATTGTTGGAAGTTTTCTTCGCAGGAAAAGGACTATTCTTCTGGATTTAAAAATATAATTTTAAAACGCTAAGTTAAACGTGATATATATAATAAAATTTTTTTATAACAGTTTAGCTTTAAACCGTTTAAAGATGAAATATGCAAAAATATATTGTAATATATTATATATAGGACTTAAAATGCATAAATTCTTATGAATTCAACTTATATTTAGTTAATTTTTTTATTAGTCAAATAAAGAAATATACTCTAACATGTTTTGATTGTCCTAATAATAATAATAAGCATTCATTATAGGAAAATTTTGATTAAAATGCTTATCTCTATTTTTAAATATTGTAAGTTGTTAAAATTTGTGCTAAATTAAAAATTATATAATTAATACATTTAAATATGTTTAACGAAAATTTAAATATAACAAAGAAAATAAAACAATAATATAAACAATAACAATGTATTAAAATATAAACTTACAATACAATCATAAAATTATGA